GCTTTGCTAGTTTAGGAAAATTTTCCTGAATAATATCCTGAAGAATATTTTCAAGCTTGGATTCATTCTCTCTGTCGCATTCAGGTACACCTATCAAACATAAATTCGGTCTTTTCACATAGTCCCACATTTCTTGGAGACTTTGCTCATTCCTTTTTATCCTTTTTTCTCTAATTTTGTCTTCTCATTTTATTTCATTAAGTTGAGCTTCGACCTCTGATTTCCTTTCTTCTGTTTGAACAATTCGAGTGTTTAAACCTGTGCATACTTCTCAGAGTTCCTGTATTGTATTCTTCAGTTCCATTAATTCACTTATATTCCTCTCTACATTGCCTATTCTCATTAGGATTTCGTCAAACCTTTTTTCAAAGTTCTTAGTTTCTTTACATTGGGCTACAACATGTTCTTTTAACTCACAGAAGTTTCTTATTATCCATCTTCTGAAGCCTGATTCTGTTAATGGGATGCGCTCATTCTCCATCAAGCCTTGTTCCCTTGTTGATGAGGAACTATGATCCTCTTTAGAGGGAGAGGCATTCTGATTTTGAGTATTTTCAGCCTTTTTACGCTGGTTTCTTCCCATCATTGTAAATGTATCTACCTGTCATCTTTGTAACTACCAACTTTCAAATTAGGTCTCTGAGTGGACGTCCAAGTTGTTAATTCCCAGGGCCAAAATATGAGCAACCCACTGCGCCGGCCAAAACAGCGGCGTTAAGACTAATGGTGCTTTTCTGCCCAGAAATCTCCAGTCTGGCTTCCTTCTTGAGTCCGTAATAGGCGACTCTGCCTTCCCGGAGCTCCAAACCTCAGTCAGAAGGGGAACCGGTCCAGTTTACTCTGCACCAAGAGCTGCCACGCCAAGGTGCCGGCAAACCACTGCGCCGGACACAAGAGTCACGCTGGCGACCCGTGCGGCTCCTCCAAACCTCGGTCAGAAGGGGAACCAGTCCCGTTTAGTCTGTACTTAGAGCTGCTGTGCCGAGTGGCCAGCGAAACCGCTGCACCGGCCACAAGAGTCGCGCTGGCAACCCATGTGACTCCTCCACTGGGTATCTTCTGCTCTGTGAGCGACCAAAATTTGTCTGAAAATGTGGCGTCCTCTCGTTCTCTGCGCTTTTACTGGGAGCTGAAATCCCGAGATGTTAGCCATCAGCCATCTTGGATCGTTCCCCCATATTACTCTTTAAGTATAAAAATATTCCTTTGGAAAGTTTACAGAAATATAACAAATATCCAGTTATTCACTATCTAGAATTGATGAATAGTAATACATATATATCATATATACTTTTTATAAATGTATAAATCATATACTATGCATAATATGTATTCATGTATAGAGACATAGACATATATACTTCAAAACACTTTTTAAAGAAAAAACAATAATGCATCCAATGAATTACTTTATACCACATCCCTTCCCCTCAAAAAAGTTCTATTGTCTTTTCTCTCTTCTACTACTCAGATACAACCACTTTCATTAAATTGGTGTGTATCTTTCTAGTTCATATTTTTGTGCTTGTACTAAATATGTATGTACCAGTGAAAAATATGCGATATTGTTTTGTATGTTTTAAATTTTATATAAATGATATTTACTAGATTTTTATCTTGCATTTTTAACTGTATTAGTGTTTTTAAAAACTGAGATTCTGTATTGTATTCTAAAGTTATTCATAAAGAAACATGTTATTTTACATTTTAAAAAATACTTTTTATTATGAATTTGGGGGTACATGTGAAGGTTTATTACATGGACATATTATATAATGGTAAGCTTTCGGCTTCTGGGGTACCCATCACCCAAATAGTGAACACTGTACCCAATAGGTAATTTTTCAGCCCTCATCCCTCCCCATCTTCACCATTTTTGGAGTCCCTACTTTCTATTATTTTCATCTTTATCTCCATACATACCCATTGTTTAGCTCCCACTTATAAGCAAGAACTATTTAATTTTCTGTTGCTGAGTTATTTCACTTAGGATGATCACCTCCAGCTCCCTCCATCTTGCTCCAAAAGACATGATTTCATTCTCTTATATGGCTGAATAATATTCTGTGGTCTATATGTACTACATTTTCTTTATCCAGTCATCCATTGATGGACATGAAAGCTGATTCCATGACTTTGCTCTTGGATAGTACTGCCATAAACATGTGTGCAGGTGTCTTTTTTATATAAAAACTGATTTTCCTCTGGGTACATACCCAGTAGTGGGACTGTTGAGTGGTAGTCCTATTTTTAATTCTTTAAGAAATCATCTCTATTCTCTTACCATATAATAAACTAACTTGAGATAGATTAAAGACTTAGATGTAAAACCTGAAACTATAAAAATCCTAGAGGAAAATCTAGGAAAAACCCTTCTGGACTTGGCCTAGACAAATAATTTATAAGTAAGGCCTCAAAAGCAAATGCAATAAAAACAAAAACAAAAATAGACAAATAGGACTTGATTAAACAATTTTATTCCTTACAAGTAAACATGACTTCAGCCATGTTTCTAATACTAAGAGTTTCTGCTTAACCTTTCAGTCTGGTAGAATTATTCAGACTCCTAATAGATAAGTGAGATCTTAGTCCAAGTGTTAATATCACAAGATTAGCTAGTAAGATTAACTTTTTATGGCAATCATCGTTTAATTGGACAAATGCAGTTTCCTGCAACAAAATTCTAAAACATTGATGTAGCTTCCTAAAGATTCACAGCCTCGTTTATCTCTCAAACATACTTTCATCTCTTACAATACAAATTTTTAATATTTTAAGAATTTTTTTTACACTTCTTAACAAATGACTTAGAAACTCACTGTTGTGACAAAACATGTAAGTTAGAATTTAAATTTTAGTATAATTGATATATAAATATATGCTAATTCTGTCTCTCAGCTGTCTAAAGTCTTAATCTAGTGCTTCGTATTCCAAAAAAACATTTTACTCTCCAAAAATTTATACTACTTGGTACTTGGAACTTCTGTTTTCTAACTGTTTCTCACTGTGTAGAATATTCTGCTGATTTCTCTGTGATTTCTTCAGTTCTATGTTCTAATTTTCCAATTCTTTTATTCAACCATGTGTAATTTATCCATTTGCTGGTCTACTGAGATTATTTTAGAAGTATTTTTCTAAAATTTTGATTTGATTATTTTTCAAGTCTGTTTTTTCTCCTGTCTAGTTTACTGGATTATTTTCCTACCTTTATCTCTTCATGGAATTCTTTCAGATTGTTCCAGTAGATATAGTTTCTGCGGTGCAATTCTCTGCTAAGTCTACCAATTCATTCTCATGGTACATTATTCTTTCTTCATTACTTAGTGTTTTTTTTTAAATTTCAGGTTTAGTTTTGGTGGGAATTGTTTCCTGTGGAAACCCTGTCTTCCCGGGATACTGAACATATTCCTAGGGTTAGTTTCCCTCTTAGGAGGTTCTATCGTTTTCATCAGTCTTGCACCAGATTTTTATGTAAATTTCTTGGTTGAGTTCCAGACTTTTCGTTTCATAGACAATGAACATCAAGGTCCCTTCCCAATATATAAAATTATCTTAGATCACAAGGCATTTTTTGGTTGACTTTTCAAACCTGACCCAGCATGGCCCACCAGCTTCTTGCTGAGATATTAGACATTATTTTCTTGCTGAATTATTCCCTCAAGTTAGATCGTCCAAGCATCTATTTTGCCATAGAATGTTCTAGTTTCCAATTAACACTGAGCCTACCCCCATATGAGATTGAAAACCATAACACATCATCTTTCTTTTTCTACACCATTTACTTAGCTTGGAACGCTTCCAACTTTCTCTCCTTCAACTAACTGAACCTGCTCCCTTATTCCTTATGTGTTTCTACTCCTAGACTAATGATTCTTAACCGGGTTGATCATTGGATTTATCTGGAAAAGAAAAGAAACAAACAAAACAGATGTCTATTCTAAGCCAATTAAACCAAAACAGCTATGGTTGATCCTGCCTGGCATGGGATGTTTTGTTTTTCGGATTTTTAAAAAATCTACGGTGTATTCTAATCTTTAGCCAGGGTTAAACACCTCTATTTTGAACCCAGGCCAATTAGCATCTCTTTGCTGAAACTTTCTCCAATTTCTTCAGGAATCAGTTATCTATCGATGCTCCCTGAGGACTTTCCCTCTGTTTTCCCAGCACTAATCTCATTGACTCTCTGTATGCAAAATAAATAGCCCTTTCTAAGTATGAAAATGTGCCTTGAATCTTAAACCACATTCTGTTCCCAGCACCTAGACAGTATGGCACAGCGTGGTGCAACAGGATAAGAGGGTGAATATGTAGATGGGTGATGTACCCAAAGTAAAATCCTATTGATGATTAATATTTGATACTCATTTGTTTTCTCTAGAATTGCCAGACCTAACCTTCCCTCGCGAAAAATAGAGCTGTTGGCTTCTCTCAGCTCCAGTGGAAGACAAGAACAACAGGACCTTCCAATTTCAAATCCTGCCGCCGAAGACAGTCTTTGTGCCAAGTAAATAGCAACAGGCTTAATGAAAAGCCTACCAATCTCTGAAGTCTCCACTCTCTTAGGTCTATATATATTTTTTTATTTTTCTTCTTTAAAATCCTATGATTTTCCATTTTTTTTATTCCCTAATGAGAAGTCAACAGTGAAATATGCCAGAACTGCTTTCTCCCAGAGGCAATGCCAATCTCTTCTAACAAAACAAAATTAAATTGAAAACAGAAAATTGGTTTAAAAGACTTCAAAGTCATTGTCAAACTGCTTTTTATGGTTAACATATTCTGCCAGGTCCATGACCACACGTCTGTACCACGCAATTTAACTTTTATTTACATCTTTATGTTTGGTTTGGTTATTTGCTTATGTGTGCATACATTTATTCAGCAAATACTGAGAACCAGCCACCTGCACAGCAGTTCCTTTTACTAGTCTTAGCGCTACCATTTAAATCTATATGTCAAAAGGGAAGTGTGTTATATTTGTAATGAAAAACTACTAGTTTACTAAAAAACATTGAACTCAGGGAGATAGAGAGTAGAATGATAGTTACCAGAGGCTAGAAGGATAGTGGGGAAGGGAGAGAAAGACAAGATGGTTAATGGGTGCAAAAATCCAGTTAGATGAAAGGAACAATATATACAGTGCTCAGTAGCACAATTGAGTGACTATAAACTATTAAATTATGTGGAATTGCCTCCATTTGATCATATTTTACATGAAAAAAACATCAATTTTATATGGTCCAATTTAATACCTAGCTTATGAATTGTATAAGGTAAGGTTACATACCTGAGAAGCTGATTAACATTGGCTATGCAATCTTATCCATTAGAGAACATGGTACTCAAGGTCTGAGAACTCCTGAAAGAAAGAAAAAGAAAGTATATCAAACTACAAAATGGAAAATGCAAAATCAAAATTAATAAACATTTAATTAAACATCAATATGTATCATGTTAACTTTATTGTTAATATTAATGAACATTTCACAAATTTATAAATAAATTATGTAACTTTTTCACACTTAGCAGAAATTATCAAGAATGCATTTGATTAATAGGAGATAACACCAACTAAATTGCCTACATGCAAATAATTTCAAAAGCAACATTTTAAAAACAATTTTCAAGATTGTTTTTAAATAGCAAAGAAAAAGATTACTGGATGTGGAATGCATTTTAATGTTAGGTATGATATGGAGATCATGTTAATAAACGGGCCCTGGCCCTTAAGAGTCTTATATTTGCCCTGGGAGCTCAAGAAAAGGGCTGGCCCCTGCCCTTCAAAACACTGTGTGAATTAGAAGATTTGTCATCTGTGTATAAATACTGAACTCTGTTCTTGAACAATCCACTATTGAGAGTGTGAGTTTTTGATGGAGAGCATCTGGCTCAAGACTGTTATTAGATTAACACCTGAGAATTCCTTCCACCCTTGGGAAGTACGAATGTCAAACAATAAAAGAGCTGAGCCTTGACCAGACCCTCTAGGGTTAGCTTAATGATTTATCAGAGTCCTTTCTAGGGTAATGAATAGCAGGAATAGTTCACACTTGATGGAGAGTCCGCCAACATCTTGCCACAGGTGGTATATCTGAGGATAGAGCTTCTCCAGCAGGGAGCACCATTGAGACACCAGAAACTGCTCAACAGTAATCAATACAGAGCAGAGTCTCCAGGCCTAAACTAAAGGAGAATCTCTAGAAACTGGGAGAGATGAGGACCTACCAGGCCTAGTATGGGTCAGCATGGACTGTTGTTTGGAGAAAGTGATGTAGCTTAGTCCACCCAGATGGAGTACATTATAGGTGGCCCCTACCCCACATGCTGTCTGAGGGAGTGCACCACCAAATTCAAGGAAAGGGGCAAGTGGAGACAACATCCTTATGCAGCCCAGGCCAGTAAGTTGAATGATTATACTAAATCACTATCAAAAGAAGTTAGAGAAGTGGGATGTGTATTTATGTTCACTAGAGCCTGATGGATACAGGAAGTTCGGAGTCTTGTTACATTGTTACATTTTTCCCTTTTTATACTCAAAATTCAGGTCACTTATTCATTCTACTGATCACAGAGTAGAAAGTCAACATACACCTATTGTCTAATGTTCAAAGTGTGAGACAGCATTCTCTCCCTGGCTTTACACAATTGTCTCTCCTGCAAGGCCTTTTGATTGTGTAGTGGAACCCAACAATAGCATCTCCTAAATTAGTCTCCCAATAGTTACTTATGGAAAAAGTCCAAAATGGTAGATGACATGGTCTGGCTCTGTGTTGCCACCCAAACATCATCTCAAATTGTAATCCCCATGTGTTGAGGGAGGGACCTGGTGGGATGTGATTGGATCATAGGGGCAGTTCCCCTATGCTGTCCTTGTGATAGATGAGTCAATTCTCATGAGAGCTGATCAAAGGCTAGCTCTGTATTTTTCCTTAATAAAACAATTTTTACATACACACACTTAATTCACAGAACAGTCAAATATCTGTCTTGTGACAGATATTTGGCCCCTAGCCTTTGTTCTTCCACCTCTACTTCATGTCCATTACCTACCATCATGCTAAGAGCAGCAAATGGCCCACTAAAAAAGGGAGAGAGAAAGAATGAAAGAAAGAAAGAAAAGAGAGAGGGGGAGGGAAGGAAGGAGGGAAAGGAAGGAAAGAAGGAAGGAAGGAGAGAAAGAATGAACAAAAGAAAGAAAAAAGAATAAAAGGAGGAAAATGAAAAATAGATCCACGTTTCATGTGGGACTTTAATTTTATTCATTAAAGAGCAAATTATCATTAACAAAATGGCAAAAGCAATAAGCAACCCCATGAGAGTGTGTGTCAGTTAAATCTTGTCTTTGAGACCCATTGAAGCAAAAAGATTATGACTTAGATTCTGCTTCTGTGAAACATATGCAAGGACAAAAGAGGTGAGAAGTCCTGAGAAGAAAACAGCAGAACCCAACAGACCCACAGAGCTCATGCATCCTCCAAAACACAAAGAGAGGGTATGATACAAAACATGGACAAAATTACAAAAAACAAAAAGCAAGGTAATATATTACCTAGAAGTTTTCTATAAGTGTTATTCTTTGTCTCTTTGCTCTCCAAGTTAATTGGTTTGATAAAAGCTCTTTCTGTGAAGTCTAGATTAAATTTTTCACTGTCCTATTTTAGCAGATTATTTTTAGAGTAGTAAACATTCACCTGGAATTGGGTTTAAATTGTAAAGACAAATGCTCCCTTCTTTTCTTGAGTTTCAATACCCATTTTTAGAACATTCTCATTCCATTAGAATGTGGTGGGAACTCTCCTTTTAGCCAAAAGTAAGTTGATTAATAAGCTATTTCTTTCAGAGCACTGATATTCTGAAAGAGTTAAGACCCCCTTTCATTAAAAGTAGAAAGTACAGGAGTGAAAAAGTTCACTTTGTTTTTCAAACAAAAAGTGAAAGAGAAATAACCCAAATCAAGGAAGTGCCCACTTCCTCCTGCATAGCCTCCTTAGGCATGCGTGTTCTTATTCTGCTTTTTCCTGCTACTTCCCATTTGCTAGTTCATATCTAGCCAAACAGGGAGACTGAATTTCCTTGAATTTTTATGAATCTACTTGTGAGTTTGCTTTAATTTCATGATCAAAGAGCAGCATTGTAATGACCATCTCTTAGTGTTTGGCAACATTTTAGCCAAAGGCTCTCTTATAGTTTCCCATAAATGATGGGTTTCAAGGAAGGTTGTACACATGCAAAACTGGTGTATAAAATGTACATCGCTTTCATCAGATTCTGAAAGGAACTCATGAGCCCAAAAAAAAGTGTTTAAAAGTAGCTGACCTAAGATCTTAGAGTGAGAAAAGGAAGTATGAAAATTAATTCTCATTGGAGCAGTTCCCAATTCGTTGGGGAGCCAAACCTAATACACACAATACAATTAGAGAAACATAAAAGGCAAACACATTAAGAGCTTGGTTTTGTAATGTAGCCTCCAGGCTTCCAGAGAAAGTGGGGCATCAGTGAGCTGGCAGCAGAGAAGCCTTCTTGGAAAAGGTGAGATTCAACATCACTCTGTTCTATCTCAGGGGTCTTAGCCAGGCACATTACTGTTGGGCACATAGAGTAGATGACTATTTGTTTCTTCTCGAAAATGTTAGACATTTAGGTTATAAAAATTAAAATGTATCGGAGGAGTTTATAACTATGTCTAACCTTCTGTGCTAACAATTAACCATGCTTCTTTTAAAGCCTAATACCTGTAATCCAGCACTTTGGGAGGCCAAGGTGGGTAAATCATGATTTCAAGACCAGCCTGGCCAAGATGATAAAACCCTGTCTCTACTAAAAATACAAAAATTAGGCAGGTGTGGTGGCACGTGCCTATAGTCTCAGCTACTCGGGAGGCTGAGTCAAGAGAATTGCTTGAACCCAGTGGGCAGAGGTTGCCGTGAGCTGAGATGACACCACTACACTCCAGCCTGGGGGACAGAGCAAGACTCTCAAAAAAAAAAAAGCCTAATAGATAAAACACTGACAATGCTTTTCAGTAATAATCATCAATATTACTCAGATTTTATTAGTGCTCTCTCCTTTATCTACTTGCAAGCTGACTTTTAAAAAAGTTGGTTTTCCCTAGCCACCCCATGCTTCTAGACCTCACAGTCTCCATCTAGCCACTGCCTTCAGTGAGTACTGAAGGGGCAGACTCATTGATTGCATGATTGCCTGAACAAAAATTGTTTTTCAGAATAAAAACTTATGAAAAGAGAGTATATGCTCAAGTATTTAAAGACTTATAATCACTTTTGCATTGTCTAAGTTACTTCTCCCTTCTACTAGCAGGAATAATTGCAGTGCCCACACCCACACTGCGAAAACATAGGTTTATCATTTTTAGATGGTATCACTATGCTGTCTGTCATCTTTGTTGCATTTCCTGTTTCATCTTCCTGCTCAGGAACTTACATACTGAGGTTTGGCTTCACAGGAGATATACTCACATATGCGATGTTTGACATATGTTTTTAAAGTAACATGATTATGCTTTAAAAACTAAATATGAAAATATAGTTGTGGACTACAAGTTGTAGTTGGGAGCTTCAACTCAACTTTTTTTTTCTTATGGCAAAAGCAATAAGCAACCCCATGAGAGTGGGGTTGAAAATAATACTTTTCTTACATATGTGTGTTTGAAAGACCACTATATTTATTTCAATAACAGCTAAAAATTACCTTAATCTGCATTTGGAAATAAGCCCAAATTGAAATGGAATTCAGATGAATGAATTGAAATTCAAAATTCTCCTAACCAGAGACTTACCCAACAAATTACACCGTTAACTAAATAATTGCTGGATTCCTGTTTATCATGTAATTTGTGTCCAACTTACTGGCATAGAGGGCAAATCATAGAATGACAAAGATTAAGCAATTCTTATGTAGCACATAGGAAAAATATGTTGATTAACTTAGTGCTAAACAGTGTCAGGGTGTCAGGATTATTTCTACCCATAAGGCTGGCCTGGGGATCTGTTCACTATCTTGCTAGTATGAGTCACCTGCTCCTTCTTTGAGGCAAAGGCTCTCAAACTTGCACGTACATTGGAATCACCTGGGGAGCTTTGAAATACACCAGTGCCTGGGTTTCAGTCCCAGAGATTTTCATATAATAACCTGGGATGAGGCCTGGGAGCTGAGACTATGAAAACACCCCAGGTGATTTTAATGTGCAGCCAGGTTGCGAACCGTTGCTTTAGAGTGGTCCTCTTTACCCTAAGCTGTATCTGCACTGTGATGATCTCTATTCCAACAGACAGTAGATTAGAGGCTTTCTAGTGAAGGTAAAGAATGCCTTCATTTCGAAGCATTCTAGAAAATGTGTTATACCAGAAAAGATGCCTGGCTCCTATACATCAGTCTTGCTTTGATCTTCCTCCTCTATTTATTCATTAAGCTTCTATTATGTGTAAGATACTGTGCAATTTCAGAATCCTGACCATCCACCCAGATTCTGACCATGCCTCAAACCCCTCTTTATAATATGTAAAGTTTTCAGGACAGTATCAGTTTCTACCTCTGGAATTCAACCTCTGCCCTGGCTTTTTGCCTGTCATATGAATCTGCATTTCTGATTACATCTTAATTTTGAAAATATTTTTATTTTAAAGAAAAAATAACAGATAACATCTTTTTTGAAAAGCTATTTTGTATGGATGTAGGAGTAATTAGTGTTTGATCACCATCAAGTATAGAAATTTGGTGACCTTACACTAAATAAGCACTGTAATACTTAAAACAAGATCTAGAAATTTGCAACCACCAAAAAAGGAATCCTGCCTTTCCTTTGCCACAGAAAACAAAGATGACCTACCACCCCTGAACTACTTTAGTAGGAGGCTATATATCAGAATGTGTTTAGAGAGGTACATGGATGATTGGAAAGTCTGACTAATTGAGATCAAATCCCTTGCCCTTAATGTCTGATGCTAACAAATGTTAACCCCCAAATTAGCACATGAACCTAGATTGAGCTGTACTTTTTTTTTTATGGAAATGAATGACATTCTATGAAAAGCTTATGAGTGTTTCCATCATTTAAATGGTAATATGAATTTAAATACAATTGGAGTTCTTCATTAAAATTATCGTGATACTTTTGTTCTTTTTAATAATGATTATGGTTATGTTTTTACACAAGTGCTATATACCCAAGATAGAAAACTTGAAAAACTCCAAAAAGTATGAAAAAGGAATTATTTGTAATAATATATCCACTCAATTCAAACGCTATTAATTTTGGTGTGAGTCCTTCATAGATAGAGAGATGGAGAGACAGACATGCATGCACATATATACACATGTTTATTCAAAAATACATAAGTTATAAAAAACAGATCAATAATGTCTAACAAAATTTAATATCTAGGCACTTCTAAAAATTTCATATCAATTTTTCAGACTTGAGAGCTACACCTATACCTGTTTCTGTATTATTGAAAAATAATAACATGATAAACCTGGCCAGCTATACAAATGCTCTAAGGGTTGGGATAACATGCAAATATAGCCTCACATATCAATGTGTGAAAGCTAGATAGACCACACAGCTCAGAAAAGGAAGTACACTCTGCATAGCTAACTTGCACATTCACTATCCAAGCCACAACATCTTCGAGGTCATTGTGTGTCAGACGCATCAACTCTTTTCAATCAAAATGGTAAGTAATAGATTGTATTACTCTCCCTGGTCTCCTGGCAAATGTGCTACTCCTCTCTGCATAGAACAGACAGGGTTGAGGGTGCTTCACAGCTAGGTCTTACACGCCTTTGGGATTTTGCTCGGCTACTCATTGTTCCTTGGGCTGAGGAAGTTGCTGAGTCTTTTTCATGCCAATTGAGAGACGTGGCTTCTGGAGTTCCTTTTTTGATTCTAGCCTTCAGAATAGAGGAAGAGCACTGTCTTACAGAAAGAAAATGTGCATTCTTCATCTTTGCCTATTATGATAGCTGGATGCCTGCCCCAGTAGTACAGCCAAGCTTCCTGTTATGAGCTCTTTGACTCCCAGGAAAGGACTCCAGTGGCAAAGGTTGGGAAACGCTGCTGACGGTGATTGCCATTTTGATAACATGATAGATTTTACAAAAGAACCTCTTCTGTTTGAAAATACATTTTTAAAATTTCAATTAGGAGAAGCAAACAAAGCCCAAATAGTCTAAAACTTAGGGACAGATTCTATACCCAAAGTTAATGGGAAGTCATTTTTTGGAGCATACTTAAAATGGTGAGTGGGTTCCCAGTACTACTTTAACCTATAACAAAACTGAACTACAGCAGTAATATATGCTTCACAACTTTCCATTATTTCCCTGCAAAAAAAAGGGGGTGGGTGGGTTCCCAAAATATATGTGGTCTAGAAGAGAATCAATTTTCTATCTTTGTCTCCTATTCCCTGATCCCCAGAAGACTGGAAATTTGTTATCCCTTCTCTTATTATGAAGAGGATATCTTCCTTTTGTCAGCCCCCAGTGAGAAGACAGGAATTGAGACGATGACTCATGCTCACACAATTGGAGGCTGGAGTGCATTGCAGACATTGGAACAGGGAGAACAAAAGGGTCATTCGATGATGTGTGTTGAAGTGACCGTGTATTGTCTGAAAGCACCTTGAGTTAGGATAGGGAAAGAGCAGAGGTGAGAGAGCATAATCTTGTTATGGGGGAGAGAGGAAGAGGGAAGAGTGAGGAGGTGCGAGTCACAGAGTCTTGAGAATGGAAGTGCACAGTGGTGGAGGAAATGTTAGGGACGTGACCCTGTCTGCGGCAACACCTGCAGAAGGCAGTCCCAGGCCCAGGTGGGAGCGGGACTTAGAAATCCCTCTACATTTCCAAACTGGGTCTTTAGGTACAGAATTCTTAGAAAACAGCTTGACCTTAAACAAGGGCACTGTGGTTTAGAAAGTGCTATTTGGATTTTCTTAGGTGACACAAGATAATAGCAATAAAAAAGGAAGTTTAACTGGAGAGCATGTATTTGGTATAATATATGAGTGATGATTTTTTTAAAGATTATGGTTTTCTTATAAAAGTAACACAGCCAGTTGTGGTGGCTCACACGTGTACTCCCAGCACTGTGGGAGGCCAAGGAGGGTGGATCACATGAGGTCAGGAGTTTGAAATCTGCCTGACCAACATGGTGAAACCCCGCCTCTACTAAAAGTACAAAATTAGCTAGGGTTGGCGGCTCGTGCTTGTAATTTCAGCTACTTGGGGGCGTTGAGGCAGGAGAATCACTTGAACCCAAGAGACAGAGGTTGCAGTAAGCCGAGATTGTGCCACTGTATTCCTGCCTGGATGATGAGTGAAACTATGTCTAAATAAAAGGAAGGAAGGAAGGAAGGAAGGAAGGAAGGAAGGAAGGAAGGAAGGAAGGAAGGAAGGAAGGAAAAAGAAAGAAAGAAAGAAAGAAAAAAAAAGAAAGATGTATTTCTCAAAAAAATTTCTTAGAAATAGAGGTAATGGGCAGGTGTGGTGGCTCATGCCTGTAACCCTAGTTCTTTGGGAGGTCAAAGTGGGAGGATTACTTAAGGAGTTAGAGACCAGCCTGGGCAACAAAGCAAGATGTCATTCCTATAAAAAATTAAATAAGTAAATAAATCAGCCAGGCCTGGTGGTGCATGCCTGTGGTCCCACCTGCTAGGAAAGCTGAGGCAGGAGGATTCTTTGAGTTCAGAAGTTCAAGGCATCAGTGATCAATAATCATGTCACACCACTCCAACCTGGGCAACACTGTTTTTTTAAAAAAAAAGAAATATAAATATGCAGAAATTAAACAATAAGCATATTCTACAATTCTATCAACTGAAGGAGAATCACTAGGTTAATGCAGATTCTTCCAGAATGTCATCATTTTAAATACACATTTTATAAATGTAATTTTATAAGTGTTATTATACTTTATGAACCATTTCCCCATGTTTTATTTAAAATATCTTTAATAATATCTGAGTTACAATGTCACTTTTAATGATAAATTATTTTTAATAACTGTGTAGTAGTCCAGAATTTGTTTTAATCAGTTCCATAGAGTTGGAAACTTCTGTTGTCTCTTTTTCTTCCTTATGGTTATAGACAAGACTGTCACAAGCATTTTTTATATATTTTGTCTGATTATTTTGCACTGACAGAACTACTAGCAAAGAAGCTAGGTGAAAACCTACACGTATTTAAAACTTCTAACACAAGTTACCCTGTTATTAAGCAGCTCACTGTTTCTCACTTTACAATGGCATAGTAAGTGAATTTTCCAGTGCAGTTACGGTATATACATGCCTATCTTTGTATGCCCATGCCTATCTTTGTAGCACGAAAAGGTTTTACTTCAAAATTAAGTTACTTCCCCTTAATTTTCTCACCCTGATATTGCTGCTGTCATTCTACAGCAAGTGGCAGAAAGTCATGTAGCATATTCAAGAAAGGAAAACACTGTATTTTCTCCTTGAAAGAGATCTGATACAGTCAGAGCTGTATTCCTGGCTGCTTGTTGATTGGTTTTGCTTACTAGTTGTTTTCCGTAAGTCACTTAAGCATTGGGTTCGTTTTCTCATCCAACGATGGTGACGATGTGATGATGATGATGATGACAGCTATCCCACAGGATTGTTGTGGAGAGTAATATTGCAATCATAAAGCACGCGTTACAGTGCAGGCTTATGCCAGACATTGGATAGATGTTGGCTTCCTGTATTCCAGCCTCAAATAAATAATTTTCAAAGGAGGCATAGAAACTCCTAGTGAATGCAGGAGGGGAGTGATGCTGGCAGTTAAGATTGCTAAGCCCTGACATACACTATCTCGTTAAATTCCTCTAACAATCCCTGCAAATGGTTATTCCTCTTCTCCCTATTTTCTAGCTGAGTAAACTGACTCTTGAAGAGAGTAATTTTCTCACAGCCACACAGCTACTGAATATTGGGCCTGGAATTTGAGCACAGTTCTATCTGCTCTCAGAGCCTGAGCTCGTCTACATTTTGTTACAACTCAGAAAAAGTAGATACCTAGGAAAACAAGCTGGTAGTCAAAGAAATGCCCAGGGCTGGCCTTTAGGGGTGTCCAGTCCTATCCTTAGGCTGGTGGCCATGTCTGGTAGGCTTGAGGGTCAGCTGGCATGGCTGCTTCCGCTGTGGTCACTGCGAGTTTTCCTACTTTCAGAATGCTCACTTTATTCAAATGTTGCAGAGGCCACTGGGATGGGAGACTGAAAGAGTGCCTGGCTTTGTGGTTCTTCATCCCGGGATCCAGAAAGGGGGGTTTAGTGACTATGTAACTCCCTTCCCTACCCCAAGCTCATCTGCTGTGTCACCACTGTGACCACTCCTCACCTCCCCCACTTCCTGAACTGTCCAGGAAGGGAGCAATCCAAAAGCAGACCAAGTGGTTATCAGGAAATTCACCTTTTATTACCCTTTCCTTGTAACTTATCGGTAAGGGAACTGAGAAAATGTGTGAGCATGAAGCACAAAGGCACTTGGTGTTTTATGAAGATAAACACATCAGATATTAAGATTGATGGGCATTAGACACATGACACTGGGCTCATCTTCCACCTAGCAAGGGGTCCTGGATTCCAGCTCTACCTCCCCATTTCTCCTTGTGGAATCTTGACCCAATCTCTTCAGCCTCCTTTCAAGAGGCTCAGTAAAGGTACAGAGTTGGCTTAGGTATTCCCCTACGTCCTTATTCAAAGTGTGATTCTAGATTTTAGAAGTGGGAGAAGAGGCAATAGAATTCTATTTCATCTGCCCCTGTGGAAATTGAGTTAATCTACAGCCTTAGATCAGCTCACTTTACAGTCCTAAAATGAAAATGATAGAATGATACTTGTTCCCTTGACAACTATGTTTAGATACATTCTAAATTGAAGAAATGGAGAAATAGTTGTTCTATTCATGTACCATTTTTTTGTATTTTATGCATAAACCTTAGAAGGTCAGAAAAAATCAAGTAAAAATTGAGTTTGAGGTTTTTGGTTTGTTTTGCTCCTTTCATCTAGTTTTCAAGCCACATGGGAGTTCCTGACAGGAATATAGTCAAATTGTGCTGTCATTCATTCATTCAACAAAGGTTTTTTGAGCCCCTTCTTCAAGTCTGCACTCTGCTGGTCATGGGAATGGAGGGGGAAAATAATATGGGGTCCAGGCTGCTACCCACAGCTTACACTTAGGGTAGTGGTTCTCAAAGTTTAGCAAACATGAGAATATCATGGAGGGTCAGGGATGAGGCCTGAAAATGTGCATTTCTTTTCTCTTTCTTTTTCTTTTCTTTTCTTTTTTTTTTTTTTTTTTTTTTTGAGACAGAGTTTTGCTTTTGTTGCCCCAACTGGAGTGCCATAGTGCGATCTTGGCTCATTGCAACCTCCTCCTCCGGGTTCAAATGATTCTCCTGCCTTGGCTTCATGAGTAGCTGGGATTATAGGCACCCACCACCACGACCAGCTAAATTTTTGTATTTTTAGTAGAGACCGGGTTTCACCATGTTGGCCAGGCTGGTCTTGAACCCCTGACCTCAGGTGACTCGCCCACCTTGGCCTCCCAAAGTACTGGGATTACAGGCATGAGCCACCTCTCCGGCCAGAAATGTGCATTTCTAATAAGTTCTCAGGCCAGGCTGATACTGCTGGTTCAGGGCCCATGCTTGGAGAACCACTTTTCCCTGGAAGTGA